TCCTCGCATGATAGGCGCCAATAATCCCCGTCCCCTTCACGCCCCGATCCTTTAGGGCTTGAAGGGCGGAAAAAAGGTCGGAGAGGTGTTTCTTGTCTTTGGACTGGACGCCCTAGCTCCACGACTCCGGAGCCTCTTCAATAAGGCGTCCGGTGTACCTCGGTAGGGTGGCGCTCACATCATCCCTAACATAAAACCACTGCGAGTGCCATCCCTTGTTGGATGTCGCCAGACGCATGTATGGGTAACCCCTCGACCGGGTATGGCGCAGATGAATGCTGGCACATCCCATTGGCGCGTTCACATCTTTCCCTCCAATCTTCCTCTTCGACAAACTAATGGTAAAGAAATACCGCCACAGATCAAAATGGGGATCGATCCCTAGGAAACCCTCGCACAGGGCAACAAACGCCGCCATATGTTGAACCCCGTTGGGAGTTAGATGCTACAACTCCACCTCATAATAATCCAGCAGCCCCCGAAGGAATCTATGCGCGGGTACCGCAAATCCCCGCTCATGGAAGATGGCGAAAGAAACAACATACCCTTCGGGCGGCACCGGCTCACCCTCGTCGCCAGGTAGCAGCCACTCCTGAATGGCGGACAGTGGGCGGAGAAGGCCACGGCGGACGAGGCCCTCCAAACGCCGTGGGGTGATGCTAGATCTGCCCCACAACTCCATCAAAGCAATTAGGGAGAAAAGGGGGCGCGAGCCCGATGGTGGCTACGGGGCAGGCGCAAGCTTGACGGCGGGTGCCGCACGGATACTAGCCGGCGGACGGTGGCGGTGTGGGCGCAGGAGGCTAGGGCGATTGGCGGCAGATGTTTCAAGACGTAAAGGCAAGGGAGTGAAATACGGAACCTTGGGGGCAAACCCCGTGGTTTTATAGGGACGACAGACGCAAGAAGGGCAACCGTCCGCCTCGATCTCTAAGCCTGCCACGCGCTCCGCCGTGTCACGTCGCGGGACATGCTCCCGCAGTCCCTATCCCTTCCCATCGAGAATCACGGTGGACGGTTCGCCTTCTAGGTGAATCCAGACTCCCTTCCCGCCTGGGGAAGGCAGGTCACAAAGATTTTTTCTATTTTGGCCCGCCTAGGGCCCAGAAGCTCGGTGGTCGGCCCAACTAAGGGCGGGTCCATGAAACGATCCAAAATCAAGGGCGCAGGCATTACTGGGATCTCAATCCATGGTCAAGCCCCAGTTAGGTCAGCCCTGAATGGGATCCCCGCGAACAGGATACCACGACCCCTTCGAAAAAATATCTAGTTGACAAAAAACCAAGTCCTTCGGCCTTACCCGCGAAGGGTCCGATACACCCCCCGTGGCGATTCTATCCGAATGACCTGGAGGCTCGGGGGCTACACCCAACGGGTGCGCTCGCGCGCACCCTCTAGCGAAATGACTCTGACGAAATCGAAAAACACCCTCTAGGCGGTTCTATCCGAATCACCTAGAGGCTCGGGGGCTACTGTCGGGGACCTAATACCAGGATACCCCAGAAGGCAGAACCAATAACCATCGAACGTTAAAAACTTCTGAACGTACAAGGGTGCCACTGCGTTCCTTGCCCGAATGACGAAAGTTAGGTTTCGTCTCACCCGACGCCTCTGGACCAACCCCACCTCGCCCGAGGGCAAAAGGCCCCGAGGGCAAAGGGATGGCCTCCGTCTCGCCCGACGCCTTTGGGCCAGCCCCGCCTCGCCCGAGGGCAAGGGGCTGGCCACCGTCTCACCCGATGCCTTTGGGCCAGCCCCGCCTTGCCCGAGGGCAAGGGGCAACCTCCGTCTCGCCCGAGGGCTAAGGAATACACTCCGCCTCGCCCGGCGACCAAGGACGAACCTCGCCCGATCGATATCCAAAGGCTGGTTTTATCTTACGATAAACTTCTCTCCCGTCCCCTCATGATGACAGTACGATTGCAAGACAAGGCGTTCGGGTCAACCACGGCTTCAAGGACCATACCTGCGCCCGGTAGGAAAAGGTCTTGCCAGGAACGACTAGACATGTGCTTTAGACCCTCCCAGCGCGCATGAGAGCCAAAAGGTATTGCGGTAGCGTACTCCTCGCCTTGAAGAGAGTTGTAGGCGCCGCCTTTGACTACGGGACACGGACCCGATGAAGATACACGACAACCACTACACTCCAGAAAAGGATTTGTAATCTCCACGAATGATGGACATGCCGTCACCACATTATGGACCCAAGGGAGCGACGCTCGCTTCCCGACCCCTCGGGTCCACCAAATCACAGGACCTTGCCCACAGCACTACTCCGACCTTGACTCCGCGTCCCTACGACAGAGACTCATAGGGCCAGAAGGCGTGCGGAGCAAGGCTGGGCGAGGTTCATAAGTCAAAACCACTGTACTCCAGCCCATGCCCTGCGCAGGGCACTATTCTATAACCATCCTGACATTCTACAGAAGCATCGACAGTATTGTAGGCGCTTATCTTCCTTTCGCACCCATCAGAATGGGTAAGGAGGCTAGGTAGAGCACGGATTCTAAGCCACTGACCCTTATAAAACCATCCCCTTCATCTATAAAAGGGGATGCGCCTCCTCTAGAAAGAGGACGGAACGAAAAAACAAGGCGACATATACATAGTCAAGCGGCTACCAAGCTCTTGACCTCCTTTTGACCCTTCCATCAGAGACTTGAGACCAGTCCCTCTCTCGATCGTTTGTACCCCCTACTATGAACCGTTCACGGTGCTAATAACACGAGCAGCAACGAACTGGACGTAGGGACATTCGGCCCGAACCAGTATAAATCTTGTGTCCTTTAGCACACCATCCGAGCCTAACGCGTATTACTATAAATTTACTTGCCGGTGCCTGTATGAAACACCGACAAGCGGCTTCTGTAGCTCGCCGTCGTGGTCGCTACCGCTCTCGTACTTGCCACCGCCGTCGCTGGCATCGGCTGATGCCCTGTTGCTCGCCATTGCGTGCGCTGGCCTCCCGGGCTCCCGGCTCGCAGCGAGCTTTGATTTGTTTTTCTCCTCCGGATGGGGTTGGAGCTTGGAGGTAGTGGGAGAGGGAGAAGGGAGGAGGACGACGCAAGTGCCAGCACCCAGCAGACGAGGGATACTCACCTTGTTCCATCGAATGGGGAGGTGACCGCGGCGGTGGCTGGGAGTTGGCAGCGGCGGCAGGCAGGTCGCGGCGGATCGCGATCGTGTTGAAGTCCCGCGAGAGAAAAAAAGGCCGAGCAAAAATCGAGGTGGGACCCAAATTTGATTTTTGAAGCTATTTATTGAAAACTCTTGGAGATGATTTTTTTTCTTTTTTTTTCTTCCAATACCTTTTAGGGAGTTATAAAACTACATGATCTGGGGAAGAAAAAATGAGGTACTCGTAGAGATGCTCTGGTTACAAAACGCAGTTTCATTCTTCTCCGTTTTGGGAATGGTTGGAGTTGCATCTTTTTTCTACCTCCCAATATGTTTTGGGAAGGTTGGAAAACCAGTTTTTTAATGTATTTTTTGGGTACTCTTTGAGATGTTCTAACAAAGCACAACACCAGCGACCCAAAAAAAAGAAAAAAAATTGGGTATAGAACTCCCGCACTTGGCACTGTCACTTTGTGGCTGTCTAATCAGATGACCGACGCGTGGTGAGAGGAAAAAGAGAAGTAGGGAGACTCGCAACTGAGATCCACGTGTCGCGGGTTCATTGATAGCCGCACGGTACCGCGTATTACGGTCCATTGGTATCCCAGGTGAGAACGGCCTTGCACGCCTCTGTCAGCAGCCCCGTTTGTTTAACCTTTTTTCAGTCTCGCTCATAAGCTGAGCAGGCTTATCTGATAAGTCACGATCTGAACAATCTGTTGTCTGAATAAGCTAGGTGTTTGGTTGTCCTGATTATTTCTAGTAGATTTATCTGTCCTGGATATAAATTGACCTATGTACCCCTGAGGCTGATGATATCTCTTTTGGTTCGTTATAATGATCTGAAGGCAATTGTGGGAATATTTTTAAAGTTTGAGATAGTAATATGGTTCCATTAAGTTACAATGTACAATAATAGTGGAAACTAACATTCATTTGGGTAATGTAATTGCTACAAAATACTCAAGTTTCTAACCATGAATCACCCAACCAACGCATTAGCAACAGCATCACAGAAATCACCCATATTCATATCATTCGCCGAACCACTACAATCAGCTGAAGGAACTTGGGACCCAACACCACTACTGTCTTCCACATAGGTTTCAAAATGTTCATCATATATGGCATTGTCTCTAATAAAATTATGAAGAGCCATGCAAGCAACGATAATCTTTGATTGCTTCTCAATTGGATAGCTAGGTAACTGCGAGAGAGTGCGCCACTTCATCTTGAGAACTCCAAATGACCGCTCAATCACATTTCGGAGGGATGCATGAGCATAATTGAACACCTCCTTCAATCCCACTGCATGACGACCATGTTGCCATTCGGGCACATGATACCTTTGTCCCTTATAAGGTGCTAGATATCCTTTTCTATTAGGATACCTAGAATCAACAAGGTAATACTTACCTTCAGGTGGATGTGAAAATTTATCGGATGAAAACGGATCGGATACGAACGGATATCACTCATATTATATTTGTTTTCATATTTCTGTTCGGATTCGGATTCGGACACGGATAGCGTCCGGATACATATACGAATACGGATTGACTCGGTTACGGATACGAATAATGAGTATCGAATACGGTATGAATCGGATTCGGAGAAGGTCGGATACAAATATCTATTCGGATATTGAGTAAAAGCAGCATATATATATATCATAGGTGCGCAAACAATTACACCACTCTATGAGTCCATAATCCATCTAGATTAAGCCGAAAGACTAAAGAGTAAAGCAACAAATAAGATAAAGATACAGATACATCATACATCAAACATTATACAAGTACCAATCTTCGCGACATGAGTAGAAATAGCCAAGCTCATGGCTTCATGGGTCTCATGGTCATGGGTATGGACATAGTCATGGATCATGGGTCATTTGCATTGAGAACTTCACCCATATCAGCATTTGCATTGGCGGCACCTTCGCCGATCTGAGGATCCTGAAATTGGCCTAGCTCATGGTTGTAGTGGTGCCTTCTTCTCAAGTGGTGCCAAAAATGCATAGTTCCACGCCAAGGTTCAGCACGAGCCTTGTAATTGTACCTATTGCATTTCGCCCAACGCTGTTCCTCTATGACACCGTCTTTTTGGTGTCTCTCCATGTACATAGTATAGTGTTCCCAAAGCCTTGACATTTGAAAAGCTATTCAAAATCCACAGAGGTGAAAAAACAAATGATTAAAGGTCATATCCGTAGATGCAAAACATAAATGGATTAAGGGTGGTGGCTGGTGGGTCATGGGTGGACCAGTATACCTTCAAGGCTTCAACCTTAGTGATTGAGGGTGGTTGCAACCTGCAAGCTAGCAAGCGCCTTCAGCCCTTCAACCAGCGGCCGACGGCCAGGAAGCAAGCTAGCAAGAGCCTTCAGGCTTCGGCCCTTCAACCAGCGGGCAGTGACCAGGAAGCAAGCAGCCGTCCCAAGCAAATGGGAGTGGCGATCAGTGGCCGGCGGCCAGGAACAGGAAGCAAGCAGTCGGCGAGGAAGCAAGCAAATGGGAGTGACGGCTGGGGTGGGGACTGGGGAGAGGACTGAGCGGCTAGTGACTGCGAAGTGGCAAGTGAAAACTTATATACGGGCCAGCTAGCTTAGCTAGGGTCATAGAGGATTGGACCGTTTGACAAGAAGTAATATTTTGGTCTAATTCCAAAAATCACAATTCGAAATAAAAAAGCAAAAAAATATTGTTTAAGGCCCTAAACAAATTCAAATGAAAATGTTGTAATCAACAAAATTTCATAACTTTTTGGGATCTAAAACTTTCATTTTTGTTGTTTCTCCATCTGAGATTCTGAGGTCGTTTGAAAAATCCAAATTTTAAATTTGAGAAATTCAAACGTAGTTTTTTTTGACAAGATGATTTCAAATAAAAAAGTTTTCAACTATAAAGTTTCATAAATTTCTGAGATCTACAACTTTTATTTTAGTCATTTGTTCACCCGACATAGTGGTAGTAATATTATTCACAAATCTCACACATCTCTCTTATAGTTTATGAAACTACAAGAGAGAGATATAAATTTTGTGAACAATGTTACTATCACAATCTCGGAAGAACAAATGACCAAAATAAAAGTTGTAGATCTTGATGAGTTTTACAACTTTTATGTTCATGACTTTTTTAGCTGAAGTCATTTAATGTTTGAAAATGACGTTTGAAGTTGCTATTTTTTGAAATTCAAAATTTAAATAGATAGAATATAGTCACATGAAAAGATGAACACAATAATAGCTATAAGAACACAATAAATTGATAGAATATGATTTTAGAAAATTTTATAAATTTTTTTTATCAAATTTGAAGTTAGTACGAGGGAGAAAAATTAGTTACAAGTTTTAGCCAAAGATTAAAAAGAGAAATAGGCGTTTTTTAACTATTTCGAAATTGAAATTCAAATAGCATTTTGAAGCACTAAATGATTTCAAATGAAAAAGTTGTAAACAACAAAGTTTCATAACTTTTCGAGATCTATAATTTTTATTTTGATCATTTCTCCATCTAAGATCATTTGAAAAAAAATCAAATTTTAGTGCTAATTTTTTATTATTTGGCGTCTATTTTGGTCTTTACTTTTTGTAGCAGTAAACAACACAGGCACACAGCGTAAGCACAACTTGAATTATTTAATATAAACAACAACTTGGATTATTTAAAAAAAATCACAGCTTAGATTAAAAAAGACGGCAAGCATCACTGGGCATTTTATATATCACATATTCATATCACATCACACAATTCATTCGGGCAGTTCGCTGGTCTGGTTTGACCAGCCAGCCGGCTGCTCCCCCTCGCAATTTACTGTTCATCAAACCAGTTGAACAGTGTTTTTCTCTCACAACAATTCAGCCAGAACAGTGTTTTTCAGCCAAATTTCAGACCAGCGAACGGGCCATTGGACTTAGCACAAGCATCACCCGACAGGTTCATTAGTCACATGCTCGAGTCGGTCACAAGCTCTCAGAGCCACATAACTTTTCACAGTGCAATTACATATAGTGTCATACTGATATACATCCAGAGATCACATCAAAAGACAAAAGAGTGTATCAGCCATAAAAGCAGCAACCAGCCGTCCATCTTCAATCTTCAGTAGTCCAAATCCAACCGTCCATGTCATCCAAGTCGCTGTCCTCATGGTCCTCGGCGTCGCCACTGCCTTCTTCAGTAGCCTGGTTCTCAGTCTCAGCCTACAAAATGTAGTGCAAATCAACACCTGGGGCCTAGAGGTAAAACAATATGTGCAGATCACATACTAAGGCCTTGTTTAGATGCACACCAAATTCCAAATTTTTTCACTCTCTCTCCATCACATCAATTTTTAACCGCTTGCATGGAGTATTAAATGTAGGTAAAAAAAATAACTAATTACACAGTTTAGTTGGAAATCACGAGATGAATCTTTTGAGCCTAGTTGGTCTACGATTAGACAATATTTGCCAAATAAGACGAAAGTGGTACTATTCATCGGGTTGCAAAAATTTGCAAAGAGAACAAGGCCTAACAATACTTTACTGAAAATAATAATTACAAACCTCATCTGCTAGAGTGCTGACAGTATCACAAAAGTCTTCGAGAATTGATGCTATCTTATAGTTGCGATCTGAAAATGACATGGCCACGTAAAGTCATAAGTTAAAAAAATAAAGTTAAAGCTAAGGGTTGTATTAAACAATTCAGTGTTACCTTTCTTAGATGCAAGGCCCCAATCTTTTGAACAAACTAGTGCCTCGACCATCTCAGGATCAAGGCGAGTGCGGAATTTATTAACAATACTTCCACTACAATTGAAAGCTGATTCTGAAGCAATAGTAGACACTTGGACAGCCAACACATCACGAGCAAGTCGTGAGAGAATAGGATATTTCGCTTGGTTAGTTTTCCACCATGACAGTATGTCAAATGCAGCACCACTACCACTAGGATCAACCCACCGAAATGGTTTCTCTGCCATGTATACATCCAACTCACTTACCTCACTACGATTCACTTCGTCCTCATACAAAAATTCTTCAATATCAGCATTTTCCTCAGATGTGTGAGCTGGAGCTACAATTGGTTCAGATTGTGCACTAGCCTTCGATATTTGACTCGGTATACTAGACAAGTAGGCTTCGAACAATCGTTTCACAACATCCATGATCAGACTAAGTTCAGCAGGAGCCCTGTCTTTGTAAATCCTTTGTAAGAAATATTCTATCAGCCTTTTCTTGTACCTAGGATCGAGGAAACATGCCACAGCAAGGGCAATGTTGGACTTTTTCCAATACTTGTCATATTTCTCTTGCATGGCCTGAGCCATAGAAGCAATAAGTATATCAGCACTTGCACACCACTCTGTAATTGCTAACTTTATGTCATAGAATTTCCACCAAAACATGTTTGTTGTTGGATATTGAGTTCCAGAAAACAACACCGTAGCATCATTAAATAACTTCAAACACTTGCAAAAAGATGCAGCGATCTCCCATTCATCATCTGAAGGAGCACAATGCTTATATTTATCCTTATGTAAATACACTAGCCTGTCAAAAGCATTCCTATAATAAATAGCATGACTCAACATCTCATATGTTGAATTCCATCTTGTAGGAACATCCAATGTAAGACCAGATTTATTATTCAAATTAAAAAAATCAGCACACTTTTCAAATTCCTCCCACTGCAACGGAGAGTTCTTCAGAATAACAATGATAGCTCTAATATTTTTAACTGCGGATCCAATCACTGTCAATCCATTTTGAGCAATCGAATTTAATATGTGACATAAACACCTTACATGGAAGAAAATACCACCACATATCAAAGGAGGATACTTCTGCAGCTTAGCAAGTTTATTAAGCTCCTTCACAACTGATATCACACATTTATTATTGTTCGAAGCATTGTCTAGAGTGAGTCCAAATAACCTCTTTTCTAGGTTCCAAGACATGATTCCCTTGATAAATTCACTTGCCAGTACAATCCCTTTATGTTGCCCTTTAACAAAAGGAAGGCAAATTATCCGTTTTTGCATTTGCCAGTTATCATCAATCCAATGAATTGTGATGCACATATAGCCTTTGTTTTGATTAGAAGTCCACATATCCATAGTTGCAGAAAACCGACAAGATATAGTTTTAAGTTGGTCAAATAACTTCTTCTTTTGAGCTAAATGCATCTCCAATATCTCTTTCCTAGTGGTTATACGACTCTTGAATGAAAAGTTAGGGCGCAAAGACTTGATGAAATCAACAAAGAACTCATGCTCAGCCATCACAAAGGGATATTCATGCATGACAATTGCTTGATAGAACTTTTTCAGGCTAACTTCAGGATCATATTTATAAGTTTCAATGACATCTTTACCTTCACTCTTTTCAACTTTAAGTTGTTGCTGCCCTTTCTTTACATCGTGCTTTGCATTCACATGATTCCAAAGGACTGTTGTTCCCTTATTGGACTCACCACGAGTTTTGTAACTGAACTTCTTGCATTTCGCCCAAACTTGTACCTCTGTCGTTCCATCATCTCTCTTGTGTGTCACTGTGAGCGTGGTGTAAAAATCCCAAACCTTTGAGGTAGTCTTCTTTTGTCTCTTTGTAGAAGGCTCAACTCCCACACTGCAAGTTCCATCTACTCCAGTCTCTTCCTCGGTAATGACAACATTTGCAGCACCTCCACCTCCAGCAACCGTGGTTGTTTCCATCAATGCCAGAGTAGCAGGAGGTTGGGGGTTAGGTGCTGATTCACCTGTGCCAACCGGAGCAGTAGCAGAGGATGCTCCCGTGCTTGCATATTGTCGACGAAATATGGTTGGTAGTCTACCTAGGGGTATGCCCAAGGTAGTAGATTATCGGCAGAGAGGTGCGCAAGCTACGAACGAGATGGTGACGCAAGACAGACACGAGGTTTTATCCAGGTGTGGCCACCGTGAGGGCGTAATACCTACGTCCTGCGTCTGATTATATTGCTGTATGTCAATGAGATTGCGATGTTTTGAGAGGGGTCCCCTGCCCGCCTTATATAGTCTGGGGGGCAGGGTTATAGATCTGGAAACTAATCCTAACCGGTTACAATTGCCATAGGTGGCCGGATAAGGATTCCTATTCTAACCGACCAGGATCTTGCTTGATCTCCAAGTCTGCCTTGATTCCTTGCGTGGGACTCCGAGCAGATCGGCTGGGTCACGCGTCGTCTTCTGGTGGGCCGGACCCTCTGGTCCGGGACGGCCCAAACCTAGCCGTAAGGGTATAGGGGTTAATACCCCCACAGCTAGTCCTCGAGCACCATATATTATGTTGCGACACGCCGTTTGATATTCTTCGGCTAACGCGATCTATCTTCATGTCATCTCTAACTGGTTGAAACATTAACCAAGCAAATATGCCAGTATTCTGGTCAGCACAGAGAGCAGTAGACCACGGTTACAGCCGAAGATTCCAGTTGTCCGAAGAATGCATGGTGCTCTAAAGAAAAAAGAAAAAGATTTCTTTCCTGATCAAGTGTGCCCACTTGTATTTCTGAAAAGAAATGTAAGTGACCCTTGTACAGGAATAGTTATGGCCAATAGTCAGAGCGTAGGGGTCGAATAAAACAAGCATATTCACCGCAAGGTGAAGTGTGCCCACTTAGTCCCCGAGCCTGGTAGTAGGTGACGTAGGCACGTGGTGCCAGGGTCTAAAAAGTCTTGTTAATTAGATACAGCATGCACCATCTGGTGCATCGTACCGATGTAGCCCCCGAGCTTGCTGGAAGGAGAGGTATGAGCCTTGTAGCAAGGTCTAAAGGAGAAAAAATATCCCAACTGTATGTGAGTTGCCAGTCGCATGTAATCGAGATGCGAAGTCCCCGAGCTGTGGTCGGAGAGTGGTCGAGGCAATCCCCGAGCACAAGTCAAGGAGCGAGCGACGAAGTCCCCGAGCTATAGTCAGAGAGTGATCGAGGCAGTCCCCGAGCACAGGTCGAGGAGCGAGTGACGAAGTCCCCGAGCTATGATCAGAGAGTGGTCGTGGCAGTTCCCGAGCACAGGTCGAGGAGCGAGCGACGAAGTCCCCGAGCTGTGGTCAGAGAGTAGTCGAGGCAGTCCCCGAGCACAAGTAAAGGAGCCGAGCGACGAAGTCCCCGAGCTGTGGTCAGAGAGTGATCGAGGCAGTCCCCAAGCACAAGTCAAGGAGCCGAGCGACGAAGTCCCACAAGTCAAGGAGCCGAGCGACGAAGTCCCCGAACTGTGGTTAGAGAGTGGTCGAGGCAATCCCCGAGCACAAGTCAAGGAGCCGAGCGACGAAGTCCCCGAGCTGTGGTCAGAGAGTGGTCGAGGCAATCCTCGAGCACAGGTCGAGGAGTGAGCGACGAGGTCCCCGAGCTTGCTGGTATGTGAGGTATCAGCCTTGTAGCAAGGTCTAAAGGAGAAAAAATAAATGCCTCTCAACTGTATGTGAGTACAAATCACATGTAGTCGAGGAGCTACGAATGGCCCAGCTGGACTTGTCGGTGAAAATAATTGGCGATATTAACTAGTGTGGAGGTGTGACGCCACCCGTACAAGGAACGCCGTCAATAAGTCAGCTGGGAGCGCCGTCATTTTCAAAGCCAACCGGCGAAACTTGCGGTCTCGACCAGCCAGGCATCGGTGGGGCCATCTTCTTCAGCTCGATCAATTCCAGAGTCCCCGAGACCCGAGCACGATGTCAGGCCCAGCGAGCAGCAAGCACCGCATGCCCCGACCAGCCAATAGTGTAGGCTATAGCTGTAGAAGAAGATGTAGTTGGGTTATTGTAAACTTGGACTTTTTCAGACAAGCTTGTAATAACGTAACTGTATATCAACATAAGCTTGTTTGTTTTGTAAAAAACGTGTTTAAGCTCAGATATCATGTTGATGTAACTAAGTTAGAACGTGTTTGCGTTTTGTTTAGTTGTATTGGTTTAGTCGACACATCATCCTGAAAGGTTTGTACGACCCTGGTTTGACTTGTGGTCGGAGTGTAAGGTGCGTAGCTTGTGCACACGTAGAAACACACAAGTCAAACCAGAGAGCACATGCCGATCACCCGTAGTATAGAGAGCGGATCCCATGCACGCGTTGGGGGGAACCGGAGACAGGGCCTGCTCTAAAAACCCAAGAAGGAATGGTGGTCGGTTTTAACTAGTAGAGTTAGAATAACGATAGACTTCGAAGTGACACATTAGAGTAGTCGGAGAAATCATAATAGCTTTATTGAAATAAATCAAAAGTACAAGAGGGGTACATATCTTAGTAGCTAAGCATAGAAACGCCTAAGCCTGTCGATGTGCCCCGACTGAGTGGATGATGACCTCCTAGGCCTCGAGCTCTGGGATCTCCAGGTGCTTGGCGTCGAGCATGGTCTCGGCCATGCGAATAGAGAGGTCGTGAGCCTCTGCTATTTTGAAGCTATCATCCTCGCAGGTGTAAGCTGCGTATACGTTGCCCCTGAGAATTAGAACCCCCTTCTTAGGAGGCATCTTGAGGACCAAATACCTGTAGTGAGGTATAGCCATGAACTTGGTGAGCGCTGGTCGACCAAGGATAGCATGGTAGGTGCCTTCAAAGTCAGCGACCACGAAGTTGACGTAGTCGACACGGAAGTGGCCTGGGGTACCAAATTGCACAGGTAGCGTGATCTGCCAAAGAGGTGTGGAGCTCTGTCCGGGGAGAACACCCCAGAACCGTGCCTCGTATGGCTTAAGATCAACCTGGGTTATCTTCAAGGCTGGCAAACTGTTCTTGAACAATATATCGATAGAACTACCACCGTCAATCAGCACTCTATCGAACTGAACCTTGTTGATACAAGGATCGAGAACCAGAGGAAAACGCCCTGGCTTAGGTATTGCAACCCATTGGTCCTTTCTGCTGAAGGAGATCTCGCGGTGAGACCAAGGAGGGAGCCGCGGATTGGCGATGAGGTTGTCGGCATTGGCCACGTTCAAGCAAGCGCGGGCGAGCAGCTTGCGCTCTCGTTTGGTCTCGATGGACACTTTGCCCCCAATGATGGTGTGGACGCGGTCGGTTGGCTTGACGTACTTGTGAAAGGTCCTCATTTGGTTTTGGTAATTGAGTGACAACCTAGGTGGACTAATTGTGTTTATGTGAGATACACAGGTACATGTGTGTGAGCAACATATGCCATGAAGGTGACAATGGCTTGGAGATGTTGCAAAGCTCACACATGTGATGATGAAGGACCTTATTGCAAATGAGACATGACATTGAGTCATGTGATCAAGGTGGAGAAGATCAAGACAAGACTTGGCTTGATGGACCGGTTGCAAGCGTGAAGGGCAAGTCAGAGGCTTAGGAGTGATGGACCGCGTGACGGTGAAGCTTAAGCAAGACTTGGCGCCGATGGACAATGGCAACGGTGAAGAGCAAGTGAAGTCAAGATCGATGAACCAATATGATCACGTGATGATATGAAGTGGATCATATCATTGTTGATCGTGTTGGTGCATGTGTTGCATCGACGTTGGATGAGATGGAATGGAATGCACAAGGCAAAGGTATAACCTAGGGCATTTTATTTCACCGGTCATAGGTGTGTAGAGAAGTTTATGACCGGGTTTAGGATAGATGGTCGTACTATCAAGAGGGGCAAACTTGTTTGCATATCGATCATCTAGTGCCACTCGAGTGATCTAACTTTGCATCGTTGCTAGGATCGAGTGGCGTGGCAAGTTGAGTGGCTAATCCTTTGGAAAATGATTGTGAAAATGCTAATACACATACACATGGTGGTGTACACTTGGTGGTGTCGGCGCTTTTGGGAAAATGGAATGACTATTTTCTATTGCGCCGGATGCAAATTCTTGTGGTTGGCACATTGGAGCAAGGGTGAAGAAGTTAGAAGTGAAAACAAGTTTATCGCGAAGACGCTGGCGTCGGTCTACTGATCGGATGCTGGGTCTGAAAGCACCGGACTCTGGCTATGAGCGTCCGGTCAGAGCTGACGTATGGTGACGCAGGCAGAGCAGAAGCTGGAGAGTGACCGGACGCTGGTGCTGTGTCCGATCGCGATCGACCGGACGCGTCTGGTCGTAAAATGTCGTTTCTAGAACCTTACTGGAAACGACCGGACGCTGGGGTTGCGGCGTCCGGTCAGTTCATGCTGGAGCGTCCGGTCGACAAATGACCGTTGAGATCCAGCGAACAGCGTTTGAATGAGGGGACACGTGGCGAGTATCACGTGACCGGACGCTGAGGTCCAGCGTCCGGTCGATCGGACCGGAGCGTCCGGTCGTCCCGATTTTTGCCCAGTGAAGGGGTAATGGCTAGTTTAGCCCTTGGGGCTATAAATAGAAGTGGCCCTCGGCCATGGCGAGAGTAGAGCACCTAAGGGGACTTAGTGTCCATGCTTGTGAGTGCTTGGGAGCCCTTCATCACACATATACTTGATAGTGATCATTCGATTGTGTGAGTGAGCGATTCTAGTGCGATTGCATCGTGAGGTTGCATCGAGTGGCACTAGGTGATCGAGTTGCAAGCCGGTGGTGCTTGTTACTCTTGGAGGTTGCCACCTCCTAGACGGCTTGGTGGTGGTCTCCGTCGAAGCCCGCAAGACGATTGTGCGGCGCTCCAGAGAAGTGCTTGTGAGGGGCATTGTGCTCGCCCCGCGGGAGCCGCGAAGAGCAACTCTAGTAAAGCATGTCATTGAGCCACCCTCACTCAAGGGGTAGGTTCTTGCGGCGCCCGACGTGCGGGCTTAGTGGGTGATGCTAATTAGCCACCGAACCACCAAGTGAGCGGTCGACACAACGGAGACTAGCGTGTTGGCAAACACGTGAACCTCGGGAGAAAAATCATCGTGTCAACCTTGTTCTTCCCATTGGTTTGCATCCCCATTACACAAGCTTGCAATTACTTTTATACATATTAAGCTTGTGTAGTTGCTCTTGTAATTAGATAGCTTGTGTAGCTTGCTAATTACCTTCTTGCTTGTGTAGCATAGAAGTAGCTCCCTTGCGTGGCTAATTTGATTTTAGTAACCTTGTTAGTCACATTGCTTAGTTTATGTAGCTAAGTTCTTGCGCTCTCTAATTAGGCATTGGTTGCCTTGTTATTGAGCATTGCTAGTGAGCATAGTTAGCTTTGTGCTTTTGCTTACTAGCATGTGTAGGAGCTCTCTTGTTGCTTAAAATACTAGTGGCATAGGTTTGTGTAACCTTGCTCTTAGAATTGTTTAGGAAAGCTCTAGATAGCCCGGCACCTTTGTTGCATAAATGGTATCTTAGCAAGGTGCTAGTAAACATATATAGAGGGGTGTAGTCTTGGCTAGACCGATTGTTTTAATTCCGCATTTATATCGGTTAGCCGACGCGATTAATTTTAGAAAGGACTATTCACCCCCCTCTAGTCGCCATCTCGACCCTTTCAACTTGTGATGGGGATCTGTGTCTTCATCATCGTTGTCCTCGCTACGCTGCTCCCCTGCGTCGTTAGGCTTGTCGGATTTATCCGGAGCCTATTGGCGTGAGTAGATGGATTTGAGAACACGGCAATTCTCCATGGTATGGTTTGACTTGGGATGGAGCTGTCAGGGTCCTTTCAGTGCTTTGGCATAGTCTTCTTCGTAGTTGCGATGTCCACCACCTTTTTTAACGATGTTGACTTCGCCGTCATCTTCCCGAGCACGCTTGCCCCTGTAATCGTCACGGCGATTACGCCGCTGGTCGTGGTGGTCGCGAAAATCGTTGCGCTGGTTGCGGCGATCAAAATTACCGTTCCGACCACGGTTGCCACGGTGGTCGTCACGGTGTGGGGGGTGGTCGGAGCGTGGAACCCTTGCTGCTTCTTCGATGATTATCTTTTTAGCATCATCAACGTCCGCATATTTTTTAGCAGTAGCTAGGAGCGCTGTGACTGATTCAGGTCTTTTGCGGAGGAGCTTGTCCCTTAGGGCATCGTGGAAGCAGAGATCAGTGATGAAAGCTTCGATTGCCTCGTTGTCGGAGATTGATGGGACCTTGATGCGCATCTCCAAGAAGCGTCAGACGTACTCACGCAGTGGCTCATCTTTATGATCTCGAATCCGCTGCAGATCATATTTGTTGCCGGGTTGTTCGCAAGTAGCAATGAAGTTGTCGATGAATGCTTGCTTGAGCTCTTGCCAAGAATCAAAGTAGTTTGCCAGCAAGCTGACCAGCCATTGGTGGCCTGCATGGCCGACGGCGACTGGGAAGTAATTAGACATGACGTGCTCGTCAGCCATGGCTGATCTGCACGTGGTTTCATAGAGCATGACCCATAACTCGGGGTTCTCCTTGCCGTCGTACTTCTGGAGTTTTTCGAGCTTGAAGTTTTTTGGCCACATGACTTTGCGAAGGTGAGGAGTAAACTACTTCAAACCTAGAGGGCCGTGGGTAGTATCATATTCCATACGGCGATAGCTTTCGTAGGATGCATGATTGTTGGCTCTTTGGTTGATGCGATCGCGCAGATCGTGTTTTCTGAGGGAATGGCGGAGATCGTTATTGCCATCACGACGATCGCGATTGTCACCCTAGTTGACCCTGCGACCGTGGTTATCATGGTGATTGTCGCGGTTTCCTTGTCGATTATCGTCCCGGTTGTAGCGGCGGTTGTCGTCTCGACCACCATCATGACCATCGTTTCCGCCTTGACGGTTGTCTGGTGGGACTTTGTTGCGCGAGCCACGTTGGTTGGGTGGCTGTGGGCTACTTGAATACTGACGACTGTGGCTTGATTCGACTGAGGCGATCGGAGCCCAAGCTTGGTTCGCAATCTCTGCGGTCTGGGCCATAGCAGCCGTCAGGTAGGCTTGCATATCATCAAGAATTGCCTGAATTTCCGGGGTATTGGGCAATCGTTGAATTGTCGCCATAGCAATAGCTACGTTGGCGCTTGGAGTCCTGAAGACCTGCTTTTCCCCTACCCTATCAAAGGCATTGTTGAGATCGCGTGGCTGGAGCCTTATGCGTCGTGTCTCCACTTCTACCTTGGCTTCGGCTTGTCTGCGATTAAACCGGTCAATATTGCGTGCTTCGCGTGCTAGCCTTTCTTGTTCTATTTCGCCAATTGTCGGGGGTTCATCATTACTAACGACATTGATTAAGTCTCCTCGCCTTGGTGGGAAGGATGGGAATCGTGGAAACCCCGGGGGGTGGTCTGGGATATCCAGATCGTAATCAACTTCTTCATCGTCGCAAAGCTGAAGCTCAGTGTGGATGGAGCCATTAGATGCGGTGCTGGACAAGGAGCTTGAGCCGCCCTCTTGAACTGTGTGGACCGATCCTTCTTGATACTCCTCAATCCGAACCATGTTGACGAAGTTGTGTGGCTTTGGCCGAGGTCTATGTATATTGTAGGCATAGTTGGGAGCAGTGTTTCGCAGGCCATAGGGCTGGGCCTGGTAATTCTCCATCAAGGCTTCACACTTGGAGAGCCGAAGACCCATTGCAGGGGCTGGTTGGCCACGAACGGAGCGCCCTTCAGGAGTAGACATGACCACGAGATCCGTACCGAGTCATGTAGGACGACTGGCCCGAGCTGGTCGGGTAGATCTGTTGTGGGTAGTGGCTACCTGCTCGGTAGGTTGATTTTGAATCGAATCTACCAGAGCTAGGGTTTCAGCAAGCTTGGTGCTGACCCGATCGATGGAGTCGAGCAGGTCGGTGTTGTCGATCTACCTCCCTTTGTAGCGAGGAAGTGAACAACAGGTTGTCGGTGTGGCTAAAGACGACGCTGGTGTGGCCGGGGTTAGATCCAACGTGGTCGGAGCCATAGCCGATGCTGGTGAAGCAGTGGTCGATGCAGATTGGATCTGCGCCTCCTCCGTGGTCATGGCGATGAAGTTGTCGGAGCCAGTGGTCCAGGTGATCTGGCCGATGGTGAACGTGAGGCTGTTCGGCGTAGCCATGGAACCGGGGATGATGACCATCTTGTTTGTCTGGGGAGTAGTATGCACAACCCCTACCTGGCGCGCCACTGTCGATGAAATATGGTCGGCAGTCTACCTAAGGGTATGCCCAAGGTAGTAGATTATCGGCAGAGAGGTGCGCAAGCTACGAACGAGATGGTGACGCAAGACAGACACGAGGTTTTATCCAGGTTCGGCCGCCGTGAGGGCGTAATACCTACGTTCTGCGTCTGATTGTATTGCTGTATGTCAATGAGATTGCGATGTTTTGAGAGGGGTCCCCTGCCCACCTTATATAGTCTGGGGGGCAGGGTTACAGATCTGGAAACTAATCCTAACCGGTTACAATTGCCATAGGTGGCCGGATAAGGATTCCTATTCTAACCGACTAGGATCTTGCTTGATCTCCAAGTTTGCCTTGATTCCTTGCGCAGGACTCCGAGCAGATCGGCTGGGCCACACGTCGTCTTCTGGTGGGCCGGACCCCCTGGTCCGGGACGGTCCAAACCTAGTCGTAAGGGTATAGGGGTTAATACCCCCACACACATACACTCTCATTTGCACTAGCAGCAGCCATCCTAAATCCAACATATTCAAAGAAAAAAACCAACAATCGTGAGCCTGACATAGAAGCTTATGAAATCGAAGCCCTACTGGGTAACTAACTAACTACCCTAGGATGGGTTGGAGGCTTGGAGCAGAGGAGAAGAGAGGCGTTACCTGATCTATGGACTGGGGTGCATGGCGGTGGGTGGCCAAGACAACGGACGACAACGACGGCATGACGCACAAGAGTACTTCACGGTAGCTTCATTCCTCCTCCTCTTGCTCTTGCGTCCACTCCTTTAGACACCGACCAAGACACCACAGGTTGCCGGCGTGGATCCGATTAACCCAAGATGCGAGCAGCGGAGAGGGCGACGGGTTGCGAGTTGCAAAATGCGAGGGCGAGAGATGGATGGAGGCGGGCGAAGCGCTAGCTAGCTGCCGGAGGTCGGAGGGTCAAAGGTGGTAGTCGACAAGCGAGAGATGGAGCGGGCCGGCGCGCAAGTGCGAAGTGCGAGTGTGGACGCCGTGTCTGTGTTGCCGAAGTGCCGAGGGTTTCACAGGGGAAGGTTATTGGGCTGTCTAGTGGCCGTGGCTTCGAGGGTCGTGGCGTTTGGGCCTATGCTTCACCGCTTCACTATGTGAGGCAAAGCTTTAGTCCCACATCAGCTACAAAGAGCGGAGCGTGGAGAGAGGGAGCTATAAAATGAGGGGCATGGCACCAGGTGGCACATTGCTTTGTTGGCTGGCTATATTCGGATAATATCCGTTACATGCAGGTCGGATATATCCGATACTTAACCGGATTATCCGATATCCACCGGATATCGATGATATTACATTCGTAATTGATATCCGCCTAAGATATCCGTTTTATTATCTGTATCCAAAAAAAATTACGGATATCCGAGTAATTATCCAGATAAGTGTTCATATTTATTCGGTCGAACGGACGGTCGAATAAATATCCGTACCGTTTTTATCCATTGTAGGTGACTAAAGTATCCAAAAATATCCGAGTGTCATGAGCAGATCCAGCCCAACCCGTGACAACAAATGTGAACCACATAGAGAAGTTGCTGAATTTTTACTACTTTGGGCCTTCTTCTCATATGTGTCGACCTACCTCTTCATAAGTTGATCTCTATGTCTTCCTTTTCTTTTCAGAGGGGGAACCTTAAGCTGGCCTTTTGTTAGCATTTGGTGTGACATGAGGTGAACCTCTCCCTTCGACTCTCTCACTATCACCATCACCATAACCGGCCTCATGATCCTCACCCTCTCCATCATCACGACCACTTCCAGGAACATAGGATGTCTCATTAGTCACACTAATAGCATCAAACATTATCCACATCATGTCCTCGTGCTCAAGAACTGTAGATTTGAAACTTATACGTCCTGGCATAGCCTGAAACATTAAATGATAACAATTAGAGGATGACATGCCGATGAGTACTAAAATATAAAAGATGGCATCTCAACTACTCACCGCATTTTGTTCTGCCTACCATTCATCACTGGTAGAAATACATCTGGTCACAGGATCCCTTCCCATCCCAGTGGCTCTCATGTTCAAGGTTTTCCATTGTGCATATTTTTTCTTTAGTACATCCCATATGTTCTTCATTTTCTCTTTGTTATATGGCCTCTTTGTTCGCTCAAAGAACTTATTCACCAAATTAGCATAACTACACTACTGCCTGCATTGAGCTATGAGCTAACAAAAATGACATCTGAGGTGGGAAGCCGACGGTCACGTCCTCACCTTTGCAGGAGAGCCGACGGTGCGAAGGTGAGGGGAGCCGGCGGTGGCGAGCCGGCGTCCAGGGGGGGCTACAGGTCCTGAGTAGATCCGCCCGGCCGCCTGGGGCTACAGGTGGGGGAGGGGAGGGGAGGTGGCGGTGGAGAGTAGATTCGGCCGGCCGCCGGCGGATCTAGCCAGTGGAAGGCGACGGCCGGTCCGGAGGGGGCCCCTGCGCTGCCTGCCGTTGAAGGGAGGGGAGCGGGGAGGGACTGCTGGTTGCCGGTCCGGAGGGAGCCCTGCGCAGGCTGTCGATTCGGACGGAGGGGACGAGGGAGGCGACAGCGGGGTGGAGAGCCGGCGTCGGATCTGGTCGGAGGGGATGAGGGAGGGAGGCGGGGTGGGAAGAGCCAGGCGGCGCGCGGGGAGGGAAGCCGGCGTCGTGAGCGCGCATGGGTCGGGAGGGAGGGGCAGGGAGAGAAAAAGCGCTCGCGATTTCCAAATGGCAGCCCTTCGGGCGCTTTTCCAATCGTCGTTGCGGGAAGGAAAGCGAACGCGGATGCCGCGTTTGCGATGGATGCTGTCGCGAGCCGTTTGGCGGGCGTATCTGGCTTCTCCCGTCGCGAACGCACGTATGAGCGCAAACAAACAGGGCCAACGTGCGGCGTGCGTAAGCTAGACGGGTTGTGCCCAACACAATCATTTCCTGGCCCACGGGGCCGGTATGGGTATAGCTGTAATTTGCCTTATCAACCGTTCGCACGCCCTAACCAAGGCCCTATATAACGTTGCAAAGGCATCCCTCTCGTCCGTCCTGAGCGCCGCCGTCTTCATCACCCAGCAACAATCTCATCTGCTACGTATCCGTTCCTAGGTTTCCTTCTCGTTTATAGCTGTTTTTATCTCATCTGCTACGTATCCGTTCCTAGGTTTCCTTCTCGTTTATAGCTGTTTTTATTTTCCTCGAAAATCCAAAATTACTGTTTCTTGTCTCGTTGTCTGGTCGCAAGTTTGCTCACATATAGTGAAGTCTTGTACTCGTTTCTACTATTGGTTTCCTTCGTGATGTTCTTTGCTTGGCACTCTTCGCGTTTTGAAAGATCTGAAGCCCAGGTCGCCGTTGTGCGGATCCTTGGCTTTGGTTTGCGAAGAGATGCGAGATCATACCTCTGGACCTCTGGACATGCGGCGTCTTTCTTCCTATAGATCCTCGCATTTTCTCGTAGGTCCAACAATTTGCTTCTCTTACATATGTGAATCATGAGATTTGTTCTTGGTTGTTTGCCTTTATTTTTGTTTGTTTCTTTCTTTTTCCTAATGAATTTGTTTGAATGAATCAGATTTACCTCCTTGAATCTGTGATGACGAATCGATGGCTCGATGATGATTATTCTTGCTTTAACCACACCGAACCAAAAGCCGGAGGAAGGGTGCTTTCTTCATTCCCCTCTGCGTCATGCTCCCCTTTCTTGTCGGTTCCTCGTGAAATCTTGCTCTCCTGTTGAAGAATTCACTTCCTGTTTTCTTCCGCGAGAGGTCGAGGTAGAATGATTCGGTAAGATTCGGGAGCGTGGCAAGGGGGAAAGCGGGAGGCCGCTTCCGATGGATCTTGGCTTGTGGAAAACCCTGGCCTTCCACTGAGAGCCTTTGTCCTGTATTCGCAATTGATATGATACCCCAACTTTTTAAGTATTTTTCATGAATTTACAAGGTAGTCTGCACATTTTGCTCGGCTAGATCGATCTCATATCTGGAAGAGGATACGGAACAAGCCAACAAGCAGGGTAGTACAACTGGAAAATGAACGAATGGCCTCAACCTTTGCATGATCAAGTAAACGAAATTAGCAGTTAAATTAATACAGACAGATGTAAATGAATTTCAAAAATTGTATCTTGGATCTAATATAACAATAACAAAATCTATTAGAATGAAATAAGCGAGAGTTTTTTTTTTTGGCACGCCTGGATAAAGAAATTTGTATTAACATTTACGCGTTCAGGCCATGGCACACTTTGCACGGCGAATCACAGTCTGCCATGCTATAGCCCATTTCGTGAAAAGTACTTGTTCAATCTTGCCCAGGCCCAATTAAGAAGTACTTGTTTAATCTGGGCTGTTTCTGCCCAGTCCCAATTAAGAGGATGGATGTTGAGTTTTGCGATCCCTACTAAAGCCCATTTCTTGTTCAACCTGAGCTGGGTCTTGCTTCACAAATTACCAAGAGGCCTTTGTCAGCACGAGGACAGCTTATTAAGCAGGTTCTGGTGGGGGAGTAAAGAGGGGAAGCGTCGCACGTACGCAGCTTCTAGTGCGGGATTAAAGAGGGGAAGCGGCGCACGTGCTTGGTTGCTTGGAAAGATATGACTATGCCAAAGTATATGGGTGGCCTGGGCTTTTGAGATATGGAGTTGTTCAATTTGGCTCTTCTCGCTCGCGAGACGAATCTTGCAGGACCCGGGGGCACTTACGCCTTGTTTAGAAGCCATCCAAATTCCCAAGTTTTTTCACTCTCTCTCCATCACATCAATTTTTAGCCGCTTGCATGGAGTATTAAATGTAGGTAAAAAAATAACTAATTACACAGTTTAGTTGAAAATCACGAGATAATCTTTTGAGCCTAGTTGATCCATGATTGAACAATATTTACCAAATAAGACGAAAGTGGTACTATTTATCGGGTTCACTTTTTTTCCAAAGTGAACGAGGCCTTAGTTCTCGGATTCTCAAATCAGTCTACTTCGTGGAGGGTGACTTTTTGGAAGCAACTATTGCGTCCAAACCCCTCACGAACTTGGAGGTCGATCGAGGGAAGAGATAATCTAGTTCAGGGTTTGATCAAGAGAATTCGCACGGGCGAGGACACAGATATCTGGACGTCCAGCTGGCTGCCGAGAGACGGCTTAATGAGGCCGGTCTGCGGCCTCAAAGATGACCCCCATCAGATGGTTAGCGAGCTTATAGATCAGACTCTTCGGTGGGACACGCAGAAGGTGAGCGACTTTTCCATCTCGATGGATGCCGAGATTATTTTGAGTATTCCGCTCTGCACATCGGCACAAAGGGACTTTTGGGCCCGGCATTACGAGAAGTCGGGGCTGTTTTTTTTGTCTCTTCGCTGGGTCGTATTTGGCTTATAAGTCATAGCTTATTAGTCAACGAATAATATTTTTCTCTCACACCAAACCAGTCAACAGTACTTTCAGTCATGGCTTATAAACCAAATCAGCCCAAACGAACAGGGCACTTAGTCAAGTCAGCTTATAGAATGCTAGTGCACACGAGGGAGAAGAGGACGAACTGGCTAGAACATACGCCAAGCAGGTCAAATACAAGGGAAGAGGAAAAGGAATGGGTGGCGCTGTGGAAGGTGCCATCAAAAGTGAGGGTGTTTCTTTGGCGGTTGGCGCGCCAATCTATACCTACACATGATATCCGTTGTCGTAGAAATATGGCAGAGAATAGTCGCTGCAGTGTCTGCGGCAATGCGGATTCCTGGAGCGTCGGTGCTAGTTCTGGATGGACTAACCAACCAGAAGTGGTTGAGACGATCGCATGCCGGGAAGGCATTGCGCTAGCTTCGGACCTGGTCTTGCAGAAGTTCAGGGTAGCGTGCGACTGTTTCAATGCAGCGAAGAGTATCCATGAAGAGGGGATGGGGCTGTACGGCTCAATTGTTAAGGAGATCAAGGCGACAAAAGCAAACTTCCTCCACGTGGAGTTTGTCCATCGACCTGTTCGCTGGTTGGTTTCTGGACTGGTTTGGACTGACTGGTGCTGGTTTATTGTAAGAGGTAAACACTGTTGGTTGGCTGGTTTGGGTTGGCTGAAACCAACAAACGAACAAGCTGCATGAAAGAAGATTTTCGAATGAGGACTAGTATAGATTAGCTAGAAGTGCTGTTTCTTTGGATCCGGGTAGACACGTTTGGTTCTGTCGCCAGTAATTCGATTACGAGTTAATAAATGGTGACAGTTCTAAAAAAAAAAGAACCTCGAGTCTTGACGAGCCCTGGATGCGCACGGTTTGTCAAAAAAAAAAGAGGAAAAAGTTGGATGCGCACGGTAATCAGACGTCAGTACGTCATGGTGTTGTGCGTGTCGCAAATATTGGCACACATCTGAACTTTGTACGAGCGACAGTGCTTCGGATGGCATAGGACCATTTCTTATGAAGGTCAGCTTGCTCTTTGCCTGTTTCTAACCATCAATCAATGATGTACTGCCGTGATGTTTCGACTATCGGCGAGTAGCACAGAAATGCTGCTCATCAGGACTGGAGTACGGGACTTGCTCACCGTGATGTGCAACTGCCAACCACCAGCAATTAACCATTGTGATTGTGTTCCAGCCTTTTCTCGCGCTGTCATGTCGCATCAGCATCACATACATTTAAGACCGTTAGCCAAGCTGGTTTGATTCTACCTGTCCTGCCGCGCGGTCCTCCCGGCGTACGCTAACGTTCGGTTCGATCCATGCTGCACTGCACTACTGGTGCCCGTGCGGACACGGAAGCGCAAAATCCTTTTGCATTCGAGGGAGCGAAGCAGGGTGTGATTGCCGGATGATGGTTGCATCATATATTCTGTATAAGGGGACATAGGTTAAGGCTCCGTTCGGTTACAATGTTCCGGGTCGTTTCACCAGGAACGGTTCCGGCCTCGCAGAAATTACCGAAGAAACGATGAGGCCGGGAATCAAACCCCTATAATTGAATGAGGCCTAGGTGATACTGTGATTTAGAATAAAAAAGATATTTCGTAAAATTGTATGAACAGGTGTAAAAGATGCTAATATTTCATTTGGTACGCTCTATGAGTGAATATTGACCCTACTACTCATCCTGCATCGAGCTAGCAGGATAGCCCCACGAGCGATGGTGGAAACGGCTGCATGAGTGGAGCCTGCATGCATGTATATCCTGGGCATCAAACATCCTTCTCTGATATATTTTACATGCACCGCATGCATGCTCGCTGCTAAAAACAGCTAGTTTATGGAATATTTTATATTCAATAAAAATAAAATAAGAGAAGAATAAATAAAGTAGCTCTATAAGGAGAGATAAGTTCACACACTTGCTACGATTTATGTGTCCATGTTTACATTTTCTATATTAACATGTTAAGTTATTCTTTTCTTAATTTTTTAAGTCCCCCACTCCCCCTAAGCTGTTGCGAGGCCTTCCGCCCGTCGGGCCGGACCTTTTTTTTTTAAAGAAAAAGAGTGAAACTATGGACCTCATCATCACCATCGTCCCACGACGTGCCGGATTACCTACTGCTCGCTCATTCCCTGTTCATTTTGGCTTATAAGCCATATTTTTTCAGTCAACGAATAGTATTTTTCTCTCACAACAAATTAGCTAACAATACTTTCAGCCATGACTTATCAGCTAAACGAACATGACAGTGTGAACACGTCTTTCCATCGGCCAGCGAGTCTTTGTTACTGTTACATTGATTAAGCGGGGACGACATAACGCGTGAATGCGTGATGAAGAAAAATATCCGGCGCAGAGAGCCGGGATAACACCGAAGAAGGCGCCTGGATGCGTAACGGAGAAACTCTTATCCGATCCATCGGACACTCAACAGATATGTTCATAGTCATAGCGACATGTAACCAACTGTAATAACTATAAATAAAGTGGCGATTTCTTCATGCATACACTTATGAAGAGAAATGGTCAAAGGCGATGCACGCCGGGAAATGAGAGAGACGGGAGGGATCATACACACAGCACGTACAGATGGACGCTGTTCTTTTTGGCCGACTATAAAGCTACCAAGCCATATTATTTGCTGCCTATGGCTCCATCGTGCCATAAAGCGTGAAAGAAACAGTGTTACTCGACGGAAGTCACTGACTCACGAGCTAACAAAATAAATAATATCTTTGACAAGCGTGCACACTCCACTATCCTCAATAAATAAATGTGGTAACAAAAATGCCAGTCTGTATGAGAACAATATGATGAGTTGATGACTAATTACAAAAATGGGGTGACAGTTAGAATCTTGAATGACGATTTTCCATGATCCAGTCCGTGACTTCGTCTCACTCTCATGTTAAATCAACGCATCCCAAATGTTGACTGTTACGGAGGAGGGACACAATCGAGAGGTCCCACGGACTGCCAAAAACAATTGAAATTTTTGAATGCCCGCACGGACACGGGATGCCCTGATCCAATTCCAAGATCCACGCATGATGCTTTATATAATTGCCTCGGACTGATTCTTGTATCTGAAACAACAAACGAAGACCAACAATCCTTAGCTCAAGAAGCAGAAGCTGTAACTGCAAGCCACCATGCTCATCCTCGTTTTCCTGCTCTTCTCCAGCGTGGACCTCCGCCAAATAAGCGGAGCAACGACGGACACGCTCACCTTGGGCCAGTCTCTCCCATGGAACGAGACGCTGGTCTCCAAGGGCGGCAACTTCGAGCTCGGCCTCTTCTCCCCGGGCAAGTCCAAGAAGCACTACATCGGCATCTGGTTCAGGAAGGTCTCCAAGCAAACGGTCGTGTGGGTGGCGAACCGTGACCGCCCGATCCTTGAGCCGTCGGCCTCTCGCTTCACGCTGAGCGACCGCGGCGAGCTCCTCCTCCACGCGACGCCATCCAACACCCTGCTGTGGTCGTCCAACGCGTCCTCCCCGTCGCCGCCGCGCACCACCGTCGCCACGCTCCAGGATGACGGCAACCTCGTGGTGCGGAGCAACGCGTCGGCGTCGTCGTCCGTGGCGTGGCAGAGCTTCGACCACCCCACGGACACGTGGCTCCCCGGGGCTAGGCTCGGCTACGACAGGGCCCGCGGCGTGCACAGCTTCCTGACGTCGTGGACCGACTCGGAGAACCCGGCGCCCGCCACCTTCTCCATGGAGATCGACCAGCGCGGGCAGGCCAAGTTTGACCTGCTCGCCGGCGGCACGCACCAGTACTGGACGACCGGCGTGTGGGACGGCGAGGTCTTCGAGAACGTGCCGGAGATGCGGTCGGGCTACTTCGACGGCGTCCCGTACGCACCCAACGCCAGCGTGAACTTCTTCAGCTACAAGAACCGGGTACCGGGCATCGGCAACTTCGTGCTGGAAGTGAACGGGCAGATGCAGCGGCGGCAGTGGAGCCCGGAGGCAGGGAAGTGGATCCTCTTCTGCTCCGAGCCCCACGACGGGTGCGACGTCTACGGCTCCTGCGGGCCCTTCGGTGTGTGCCGCAACACCTCCAGCGCCATGTGCGAGTGTCCCGCGGCCTTTGCGCCGCGGTCGCGGGGGGAGTGGAAACTGGGGAACACGGCCTCAGGGTGCGTGAGGCGGACCAAACTGGATTGTCCCAACGACGGCTTCCTGAAGCTGCCGTACGCCGTGGAGCTTCCGGGAGGCTCGGCAGAGGCGGCCGGAGCCCGGAGCGACAAGACGTGTGCTCTCTCCTGCCTGCGAGACTGCTCCTGCACTGCCTACGCCTACGACGCAGCGAAGTGCTTGGTGTGGAAGGGCGAGCTCGTCAACCTGAAGACACTCCCTGGCGATCAAGGCATCGCGGGGGCTGTTGTTCTTCACGTCCGTGTCGCAGCCTCGGAGGTGCCACCGCCTGCGGCGCATCATTCTTGGAGGAAGTCAATGGTGATCATTAGCAGCTCAGTGTCTGCCGTGGTCCTACTCCTGGCGGGCCTCATAATCGTTGTCGCGGTGGCGGTGGTTTTGCGGAAGCGGCGAGGGAAGGGCAAGGTAACGGCGGTGCAGGGCTCGCTGCTGCTGTTCGACTACCAGGCCGTGAAAGCGGCGACGCGGGATTTCACGGAGAAGCTCGGGAGCGGCAGCTTCGGCTCGGTGTACAAGGGGACTCTCCCCGACACGACGCCCGTGGCCGTCAAGAGGCTCGACGGCTTGCGGCAGGGCGAGAAGCAGTTCCGCGCCGAGGTCGTCACCCTCGGCATGATCCACCACATCAACCTCGTCCGCCTCCGCGGCTTCTGCTCCGAGGGGAACAAGAAGGCGCTCGTATACGATTACATGCCCAACGGCTCGCTGGACGCGTACCTGTTCAAGAACAGCTCGAGCTCCAAGGTCTTGAGCTGGAGCCAGAGGCTTGGCATCGCAGTTGGCGTGGCCAGGGGGCTGTCTTACTTGCACGAGAAGTGCCGGGAGTGCATCATACACTGCGACATCAAGCCGGAGAACATCCTCCTTGATGAGGAGCTGGGCGCGAAGCTCGCAGACTTCGGCATGGCCAAGCTTGTCGGCCACGACTTCAGCCGCGTTCTGACCACCATGCGGGGAACGATGGGCTATCTGGCGCCAGAGTGGCTCGCGGGCGCGCCGGTCACCGCCAAGGCCGACGTGTACAGCTTCGGCCTGCTCCTGTTCGAGCTCGTCTCGGGCCGCCGGAACAACGGCTCCTCGGAGGCGGGGCCCATCTCCGCTGTGTACTTCCCGGTGCACGCCGCCATCAGGCTGCACGAGGGGACGTGGTCGGCCTGCTAGACGAGAAGATCGACGGTGATGCCAACGTGAAGGAGCTCGAGAGGGTCTGCAAGGTAGCGTGCTGGTGCATCCAGGATGAAGAAGGCGACCGGCCAACCATGGGGCTCGTCGTGCAGCAGCTGGAAGGTGTTGTTGATGTCGGGCTGCCGCCGATCCCGTCACGGCTTCACATGCTGGCGATGATGAATAACGGTAGCAAATTAGACACAGCAGTGTAACGAGTAGAAGTGTGAAGGTACTAAGTAGATCCGACAGGTAATTGTAGTTTCAGCATGCGAGTCCCATTGTTCATCATGGGTAGTACCAGTCCTATCCTATGGCCTGTTAAGCGTAGCTGCCAAACTGTGTTTCTTCGCAGTCTGTTCCGTGAATTCCTGATCAAACCATCGTTGCGACAATACCCACCGCAAGAGGTTCTGAACAAACTTTCCGCCCGCTGCCAAAACTGCAACCCCATTCATTTACACTCCTACTCGCTCTGTTCTGTACAACAGGCTGGGAAAACCATCTAATAACTACAAAGAATACAGGAAACACAAACCTAGAACCTAACTATCAAACTGTACAGATTAACAGCTACATATACAAACCCCAAAAGAATGAATGAAATCACCGTAGAACTATAATAACCGACATTATCAGGATATACACTTTACAGGTAAAGACGAAGCTGCTGCTGTCGAGTATAGAGCCTTAAGTACAGAAATAAACTTCAGAGATGCTTCTTCAGAGAACCACTTAAGTTTCCATGTATGTACTGTGCCGATTTCATCAGACTGCTTGTTTTGAGGATTTTGGATGCTATCGTGAAACTCTCCTTGCCTACGACTATCCAAAATCAATGTCAAACATTTGTCGTTGCGCTGATCCATGACCTGAAGGTACACATTGCAAACAATATCAGCTTTTTCAATGACCTCGCACAATTTGTGGGGCAATAAACAAAACAAGAAGCACAAGCACCCTTAGCCCATGCCATGAATATGACAAGGACTAACATCAGAACTATAAGATTTCAAGATAAACTCATTAAGGTAGTAGGTAACAGCTAGCAGAAAACCATATTATTCCTTGACCTCTATTGTAACAGAATCCACTAATCGTGTTGGATATAAAATCTATGCTTGCCACTATCAGCTCCATGACACCTAACTTTGTCATCTATGTTCTTCCCGAACAAGTTATTTATTTTTTTCTGAGAAAAATGCAAAAAAAAAATATACAATTGCTTTCATTCAATAGAAGTGACATTGCGCCTATCCCCCAAAACATGATTCGTCTCTATGATGTCCCCAGAAACACCTTTTTTTTTCTTTGTTTTTTCCTTCTAACCATATGGCCGTCCTGATTGCATATTTGCATCTGTTTGACAAGTTTACCATAATTTTCACATATTTTTTGAGAGGATAATTTTCACATATTACATGCAATTATCAATGAGCTTGCTTGAATGACTTCATGCCCACCAGCTTATGAGCTACAATGGACTAAAATATTCTATAGTTTCCCCCCTTCAATTTCGATAGTGATTGGGCAGGTAAGAGCAGCAATACAAGACCCTTGTAATAGTTGATAATTTGAGTAGCAATCTGAGGCGAAAAGTTAAATTCTTTTCAAAACACAGTACATAATGGCGAGAAAGTCAGAAAGCCATCATTCCTAAGTACAAAGTTAATCAAGACAGAACTGGAACCATAAGAGATTGTTATCTCTAGTTTAGCGACTGTCTTAGAAAAGTCATTTCTGCTAAACAGAAGATGGTGTGCATATTAGATATTAAACAACATATATGATTTTAATTGACGGAGTTAAGAAAGGGTATATGAAAATAACAATGTTGCAAATTATCATGTAGTGAGCCAGAAAATTTGGAATTGCAAAAAACAAATTGCTACTTACCACTTCTCGGATATTGCTAATAGAACAAGATGCATCAAGAGAAAAGTATGGGGGATTTGAATCATAAGGGATACCACCAAACTGATCTAGGTCCTCAATGCACACCAATACGGAGCCTTCAATGACAAAGATGGATCTAATACAAAGGGAGTCTTCTGCAGAAGAAAATTGACCAATAATGTTTCAGCAACTTGTAAGAGTAATCAAGAATATAAAGTAGGAAATGATCAATTGGAGTTAAGAGTGAATATTTGGGACATGCGACAGCCAGGAGTTTGCACTGAAAGTTCACATGATTGCACCCATATACAAGTATACAGTAGACATATCTACTTGATTGACTAAATCTACTAAGATTTAACGAACAATTATATACACAAATAATTGCCCTTGGATAGGAGTACAAGGAAAGCAGCTATTCACGTGCCTAAACCATGAGCAAGCTTTAGATCCCCCAATAATATCGTTATTGACGCCTTGTATATATTTCTCTTTCTTTTTCCCTTTTGCTGGTGGATCATATTGGGTTTCAACTCTAGCGCACCCCAACTTTCTTGGGACTAAAAGGATATATTGTTGTTGCTGTAACGAACAATGATTTATTTGAGATGACTTAACATTGGGCCCAAAGTTAATATAAGGCCAAAGAAATAAACTGAAGAAGACCCCGACCAATGTTTGCAGCAAACAAGTAATTCCAATTTAGTTACAATGTAGACTTCAAAGAATGGAAAGGTAATTCTGATGTGTTCCATGAATTCCATGAATAAAATATAGGGACGTTTCATCACCCAGATTGCAAGACAATGGTACCTTCAGCGTCATTCCTCCAGAACATAAACATAGAGTAGAGAAATATTCCCATATTTGCAGTTCTCGTGATAATACATTTCTCGAACGATTTAACTTGGATGTTCTCCCAACTGCCATTTAAATTGCACAATAACCATAATAAAAGACATGGAATATAAGCTTTAAAAACAAGATAAACATTCTTCATTTGGCTCAAAAAGAAGATTATTAGTCGTGATGATTGTAGAAACTACCAAGACTATACCTTTGAAATTGTATCTTGTGGTTTAATTTGGGGAAGTTGGTTACACTCAAGAGCCAAAGTACATCTTGTGCTTCCTTGGAAGTCCTTGTGAAGAATAGATAAGTTGTATCATCTGACATGTGTACTCTGTCACATTGAAAAATAAAAGTAAGCCCCAGGTAAACTAAGCCACCACTGTTGATGAATAACGATTGATATGCTAACACACCTCAGTGCCTGTAGTCCCAGCCCAATCGAAACTTTTTCTAGACTTTCCAGACTATAGCTGCCCAAAACTCTTGGCATGGTTTCTGTAAATTAATCAATACATTAGAAATTACGGCAATAACAAAGGTCCAAATAGAGATATGGGTAATAAAAGCTTCTATCAAGCAAATGATTGTGTAAATGACCTGTCACAGTTATCAAATAAAAACAAGGAAACTAGAAACATAATTCAGATGGTGAATCTAAACAATATGTAGGAAATTAAGTAGCTATACCTTGTCCATCAAAAACCATATCAAGTAGTAGCACATACAATTTGTTTTGAGAACTTCGCAGCAAGGCTACCTCTCTACAGAAGGGAAAAGAAAAACTGTCAAGTACAGATGGTATAAACTATAATGTGAATCCATACTAACTGCACGTCCAGGAAATTTCAGTTTCTTCAGACTTAAAGTGTCATTTAAGCAATGTGGCTTACAATTAAATACAGCAAACATCTGGTTAGTTTGAAGGTGGCTATTTTGGTTTCAATCGAGATGCTATTGGTAACTGCTTGATGCATTGACGAATGGAAACAGCTGCATGCCTGTTACCATGCAATAGAATTGGTAAAGCACATATGTAAATGGTGCATATATAAAGGGTGGCACCAACTACCCGATACAAGAAGTCCACAACAAGCACATTTCTTCTTTAACTAATCTGCAAATTTGAAGATAAAGAAATGCAATTCACAAAGTGCTGCAGAGGTGTATTCCTTTGGATTAAAACTAGCTCTGGCAGAAAAAAGGGGTGATTACATTCATCCGACATGCTGTACTCAAGCCCTAAACCTTCTTTTTCTCTTCATTTTTTTTTCTTCTTCCGAGTATTAAGTCCTTAACCTTTAAACTTACAGAAAGATACTACTCTACATAGTACTCATAGTATTCACAGAAGTTCTACAAAACATTATTCTCAAATCTTGTAGCCCAACAAAATACAATTTTCATTTAGCTCATTCATATGGTGCATTCCAATTTATTAGACAATGCAAAATCAGTTCATCAATATGGCACATTCCAATTCATATGGTGCGCTCTCTTATAACATTTTCAGGAATGGAGAAACAGAGAAAACAACTCACCTTTGAACTAAACCATTTGAATCCTGAAACATGTATGCACAACAAGCTACTTGTTCACATGTTTCAGACCCATCCTTGTTTGCTATTTCCAAGTTGAAGAAATCCTCAAGAGTCTTGTGTTCGCCTGTGTCATGAGGAATTATATTTGTGCTAATAGATGAATTGTTCTTATGCAGGATATTAGAAGAATGACTTTTAGAGTCTTCCTTGTGAGTACTTTTGCTTGGTTTGCATGTCAACTGGCCATTTCCTTCAACTAAAACATGCTCAGCCACCTGATCGCCATTCATTTTTGGAATTTCTAGTTTGGTACCATTATGATTCTTGAAAGGAAATACCCTCCACTTAAACTTCTCCTTGCCTTTTTGTCCAATTAAATGGCCTAAATAATGACCTAGATGACCATTTCTCTGGTTACTGTCATGGAACTCCTCAATATCAAACTCTCTGTGATCTGAACAACTCGGCTCACCTTCTTCTGAATGGTCAGACAAAGTATTCTCCCCTGAAAAATGCTCTAAGTTATTCTCTGCCTCATGATCATCACCATTTACAAAAGGAAATAAAACCATCTGGCCATTACGAGACAACTCCATCTTTGTCTGAATTTCTTCATAATCATCTTCTGAATTGCATGAACCAAAATCACTCGAAGAACCATCGCTGCAGCTGCTACCACTACCAAGTGAACCAACAGAATGAAGATGTCCTGAAATCTGCAAAAATTCTTCCTCCAGAAAAAGTCTGCGATGTAGAATGTCCTCCTTGTATTGTGGAGGTGACTGTGGACTTGGATATGTATGGGGTGGACTTGATTCTATTAACTTGCTCATTGTATTGGATGGTGTCCCATTTGCCAGCATATTTGTAGAGCCATTTTCCAACTCAGAAAAGGGGTCGGTTTGTGAAGTGGCTACTAACTCTAGGGG